GAGGGGATACTTCATTGGTTCAACCCCCAACACTCCGCTTCCGGTAAGAAAAAAAAGAATCATCGATCACAGTAGCAGGCGGCCCATTGCTGGGAACTGGCACTAGATGAGCGTGCCAGTGTGGCTGAGCTCGATATGCCGTATAGGGCAAGAGTTTGGAAACCCGTTAAAGGCAGCAGGATTAGGAATCTCAGTGTCCACCACTGCCGAGCGACGAAGACCAACATACCGTATCTGGCAAGTCGCGGAAATCCCGTCGAAAGCGGTGATTACTGGGAACCAATGCCCAAGGGACAACGCTCACTGGCGGAGCTTTGTGCTGAATGACAAGGCACAATAAGACCCACAAACCTGCTCTTTTTGTGAATCTGCAATGAATAGAGGAGATTGCGCCCCACCCATTCAGTACATACTCGGTGCTGTCCATGAGCCGCTGTGAAAGTCCTCGTGCCAGCGATCGTTAGTGTCGTTATGCTTTTACGCAATCTGTGGGTAGCCAGATATGTAGTGTTATCTCAAAACCCTTCATTCTTCCGTGCCTGACATACAAAAAGTGCCAGTTTCAGCGATCACTTATTGCGTATTACTTGTTCATTTAGACTTTTGCACGCTATGTGCAATGCTATAAAATTACTGCAAATGACAATGAACAAACTTTAGAAGAAATTTACTCCGCTATGCGAAAGGCGATTGGCCTGATCAACAAGTCTATCAAAAGAAAAAAACAACGACCCACGTTTCCAAAGCGATCTCATGACGTCGTAGGGGGTGCCCGTGTTGGCAATCCTTTACCGATGCGACCAATCTGTTCTGTGTAGAAAGCACTCTCAGCTCCAGCCCCTATGGCTTTGATTGGAATCTTGCTGACCAGCCAACTCGGCTTCACAGCGTCCAGCCTCAGGACTACATCACCACCCGCGGCCTCCTCTTTCAACAGTTTGTTTGCCCAGTTCGCATCCACAGCAGCCGGTCGCGCCACACCGATCAAGTCACAGGCATTCTCCTCAAGCGCTGCGTGCATACCAGACAAACTGCGGAAACCACCTGTGACCATCAGGACCACATCCGGGAACCTCTGCCTGACTATCCTCGCGAAATCAAGGAAAAAGGCTTCACGCTTTGCCGTGCGTTCTGAGACTGGCTTCTCACCCGGCGCAGGCTCGTCACCCTTCATCATCCTTGGGTTCTCATACGATCCACCGCTAATCTCGAGGAAATCAATGCCGGTGGCCCTGAGGTGTTCGATTTGTTGCATGAGCTCTTCGATATCGCTCTTTTGTGCAACGTCCGCAGAGTTGAGCTTGATGCCGACGGTGAAAGTAGACGGAACGACAGCGCGGATTGCTTTGATAATGTCGAGAACGATACGAACGCGGTTGAATGCCGAACCGCCATAATCGTCTGTACGTTTGTTGGTGTTTGGGGCCATGAAGATGCTCAGCAGATATCCATGTGCGGCGTGTAGTTCTACGCCATCGAATCCGTTCTCACTCAGGAACTTGGCTGCTTCGGCATGCTTCGTTACGACATCTTCAATCTCTGCAACTGTCATCTCTCGCGGAGTACCGAAGAGGATCTTTTGTGCAGTACGTGCCCAGATGTTGTCCTCGAACTTCAATGGAATAGGGCTGGGTGCAATATTCTTCTCGAAAAGACCTTTGCTACCAGCTCCAAGAGGGCTTTGGCGGCCGGGGTGATTTAGTTGAACGATAGCTGGGGCACCTTCGACACGGCATGCCTCTGCGTATCTGCGCCATTGAGCAATGACTTTTGGATCAGTAGTGGGGTTGATTGAGACGTCGAGGGCGTTTCCAAGCCAGCGCTCATCGATCATCACATTGCCTTTGAGAGTGAGTATTGAAACCGGTCATTTGGTAGAGGTAAATCCGTACCTGTTATGATACCACCCCATCCTCCTTTTCCCCACGCTTTGTAGGCAGACAGGAGTGGGTCTGTTGGATCGTGAGACTTTGACATGTTCTCCGCCATCGCTGCCTGTGAGAGTGTCAGAAACATGATCGCACTGCGCTTGGTGTGTTGTTACTGACCTTGAGTAGCCGGTTCTTGAAGACCAGACCGGATGGCAATGTTACCGGATCACGTAGTTGGCGGCTATTCTGCATCTTGGATGTGTATATGGGAGACTGCCAGAAGGCGTGTTGCACAAATCTGAGTTCTCGTCTGATGTTGGTGTTGAGTGATGTGATCTCTGGATTCGACTTTGATCTGGGTATCTTGGTAACTCCAATATTGGTTCTTGTACTTTTTTGTAGTTATGCCTATGATGTTGGTGTCGGTGTTGAAGGTGATATTATTCTTTACTTTCGAGCACCTGTAGACTAATATACAAATACATCCCTCTACTCAAAGCTGCGGTATAACATACAGGCCTTCGGAATAAAGTTCAAAAGGGCTTACTGATCGCGGACGACTTTCGGCGGGAGGACCTGGGCTAATTTCAAAGTATAGGAAACGAATTGCTAGGGCGCCTTGGTCCACTAAAAAGTAGGCGACGTTTCGGTCCGATACTCAAGGAAAGCTCGAGACTCGACGAGCTCGGGACATTTCGAGAGAATTGGCCGTACGCTGACGCGACGTTCTTTTTCGGCATGTTCTTTTCTGGCTCGACGGCTGATGAGTGTGATTTCTTGCGACTTAATCTGGCTGCCATGTGACTGATGGAAGGCGAAATCCGCACGGCTTTGACAGGCGGACGAGGTCCGTGCTAGGGAAAACCAGTACTTGATCGGAGCAATGTTCCTTCGGTGGATTACTCAACACAGGAAAACAGAGACGGCGACTACAAACTCAAACAACACGACACAAGAAAGACTAGAGCTGTCTTGTCAAATTAGCCATCAACAAAGACTTATGCGATCCCGACCTAGGAAGGGTAGCAAAAAAAATTAGGAACCAGAGCGAAGGTGCCTGAACAGCGCTGAGTAAGGAGAAGCTAGTCGGTCTGGAGCTGTCGCCCTTCTTAAAGTAGGCATGCGCCTCGCCTAGCTGTCCAAGGTATGGTATCACCACAACCACCGCCAACGGAGAACACACAAATGATCAGTTACGGGTCATGGTTCATGGAGACCGAATGCGCAGCTGAGGTCGCAAGTAGTACGAGCATCATAATGCCAATGTCTGGATAATATCAGAAGAGAGAGCGGGAGTTTTGGAGGCTGCGCTTCAACAGGCTTCGGCGCCTTCTATGTACCAGCACCTCAGCTGGACAGCCACGTCTAACAACCAGCTCGGCTTCCGACGCCACCAGTTCCCTTACTCCGCGTCGGCACACCCACCCACATGCAGACCTGTACCACAGCTTACAACACCGAGTTGTTGCTGACGCCATGAGAAGACATGCATCAACGCTACCCAGATACCTGCACAAGGGACTCTACGTTCTACTATATAGTTCAGATATGCTTGTACGCCATTGATCGATCAGTATAACGGTATGAATGCATCTAGCAGCAATTCGATGTTGCAGTTGGTACAGTGCTGGCCAGAACTCTCAGCTCGTTCAGCCTCACGACCCCTTACTCATTTGTGGATCACCAATCGGTGTAAGATAAGCGGGACCATCCTATCAACAATATACTCAGCTTACACAGGATCTCAATATAATGGCTTTCTTCCCACCTGCAGAGACAGGCTGCAGTAAGCTAAGCTCACGCAACTACTTACATCTCCATTCGAAGCCGAATATGATGGTAGGTATTAATGCCGCAAGGCTGTTGTCTTTAGATTCCTCTCCAACACCTGCTACGCGCTTCGCAAACATGTTCACAAATCGCATTAGAAACGACAATCGGATGACGGAACACGATGCGATGCAACTGGGGTTTACCCGATCTACAGCGCCGACGTCTTCGTTCAATCGTCTACCCAGCGAAATCGTCCTGGACATTTGCAACCGCTTATCCCCATCTGAGCTCTGGTTCAATGCGCGCCCTATTTCCCGTCAATTCTATAGCTGCGCTAATGAGGTACTACTACGGAAATGCTTCTATCAAGAACAGGTCCGCTTTTCTTGGTGCTGTTTTTGGTGCAGCCTCGGACACTCCCCGTTGGATGCCGCAACGAGGACCATCACTTCACTGTTTGGCGACGCGAGGAAGCTGCGCATACAGTGTATCAGCGACCAAGCTTTGCTCGCTAAGCTGGCCTTTGGGGAACTGTGCAGCGCGGTTGTGAGGGCAGAGCAAAAGATCTATGTATCTATTGGTAATGGAAGCGATGAGGTTGCGATGACTGCTGTGGAATGGCAGAGACGCATGGAGTGTCTGCCCAAAAATCTACAAGAGCGCCGGTATGATTTCTTGGTATTCTATTTTGCTCGACTGGGGAGGAAAGCAAAGACTTCGCATATCGCAGCAGGCCTTTCATCTGTTGTGCATGTGCTGGGCTTCGTTGTGGTGGGTGTGGTCATTACGGTCGTCATGGCTGTCGCCCTGTTTGTTTTCTGCATCGTCTGGGAAACGGTGAAAGTGGTCAAGAGCTTTTGGGCATTCCTGGATGGACTGATAGATATGCGCTTGCCGGATCGATTCATGCGAGACTAATCAACACAACGACGATCCGATTACGCGACGATGTATAAGAGCTCAAGCAATTCTTGGTCTATTTACTCGACTATAGCTTCTAAACACCAACTGATTGTGTTGGAGTGGTTGAGAGGGGATCTGGCTGGCTAGATGACCAGGAACATGGTACTGCTGCCCCGTTCCGAGCAACCAACGCACGGCTCGTCGCAACAGGCGTCAGCGTTCTCCAGAGACCCAGTTGGACAAGGCAGTGCAGAAACATCATTATCGGCCCCTCTCGCAGAGCGGATCAGGACAGCGTTGCTATGAGAACATTGGTTGATGATTGAGCCGTTTATTTGGCCTCGAGAGCATCTTCCACGAATATTCTCACAAGCGGCCACGTTCTACAATTTCGAACCAACACCTTACCTAAGACGACCCTGCGAATCAGTATTGTCAGCCTTCACCTCAACCATGGCTGTGAATAAGCGCGAATCTCGGCTTCGTCGCTGGGCGAGGAAACTCGGCGGCTGTATGCGAAACCACCATCCGCACCGCAAATACAAATCTGCTAGTTATGTAGATATGGAGAAAACGCTTCCATCACCTGTACACCATATTGACTTCCAGCACGCGCTCATCGGTCGAAGAGAACAACCTCCGAAGAACGAAATCAATAGGGGCTCCAGGACATGGGATGCACACCCTAAACGGGCTTTGCCTTCGCCAGGAAGACTCAGAGTAGATACGCTGCGAGACCATCCGGTTGACGAGACGATTCGAATAGTAAACCCGAGCGTAAGCTCGCTTGTGGCAGGACGATATGATACTCAGACACCAAGGTTTGCCGGAAAGGTGTCCAAGCAAGCTCTCAGCGAGCCACAGACCCATGTGGCAAATGAGCGGTTCCAGCTCCAGGGTCCCCCCACGGTCCTGACATGGCGAGAGTCATTTGAGATACAGCGGGTTTTGAGACGAGAATTGCCTCAACCTCCCTCTGACAGATATGACTCTGCAGTAGACGTGACCATTCGACCCTTAAACGCTCGCAAACATCAAGCCCAGAAGCCATACTGTCCTTCTGGGCTGGGAAAATCGGCCGCAGTGCCTGTCCAGCCCAAACCGACAAACGATGTCCGGACTTACTATCGACCGTCAGGCCATTCTATAGCCACCATAGCTATAAAAGAGAAGGAGGCGATTCGAGATTGGAAGCACAACTGGGACAAGCCTCTTCAGCACCGCGCTGGAGGCTCGAAGGCCATCTGGAAGACAGCCTCAGAGCGGCTTCTGCTGCGAAACAAAGACAGCATACAACGTTTGGATGCCGAAAGAGCGATAATGGAGCAGATGGCTGCGAGGATTGAACTGGAGAAGAGGCAACAACCCCAGATGAGAAGCATTCAGAGCATTGAAGAAATGGCCGAAGAAGATAAGAGAGCGAACGAGGAATGGAATGGTAAGTCTAACACGGCCGCGTCAGACTGGTTCAACTAGTGTAAGGAATGATGATGCTAACCTCGTGTGTGTTCCAGGTATTGCAACCCAACTTGCCTCTGATGCGCAGAGCCCTGGTGTCCAGGAAGTCAAGTCCATCTCATTCCGCCACCAACGACGTCCAATTGCAAATGGTCGGCGATAGACAGCTCCAGATGACGGGAGGCAGCCAGACAACTCGCGAGAAGCTACAAACCCCACCCAAACTTGTTGACAAAGAACAACAACCGACTCCAAGGTCAACAAGAGTACTGCAGGCACACATGGCATTGGTATGGTCAAAGGGCCGCACTCGACTGGATCGGGCATGGCAATGTAAAGTTTTACATGGCGGTCAAGAAGGCAGCTAACCCTGCCAAGCAGATTGAGGGATCGGAGAAGTGGCGTGGGAACTCTTGGTATCATGCGTTGTTGAAGGGAGTTTGCGAGCGATTGTTACAATCTGTGCGATCCTTATGCGCACGTACATTGTCGGTCCATACACAACCCCAATGCTTTTTTGGTCTCGTGAATAGTAATCAATTACGAGATAACGGTGTGTTGAAGCTCGTTTTCTTTGGAGAGGATGTGTCCACGCTAGCTCTGGTATGACCGAATATTCCAAAAAGAAAACATGTATGCGGCTTTTCCTTACTTGCCGGCCTCAAGAGGCCCTGCCTTAGTCCGCGGAGGGCGACCGAAGAGAAGGACCACGCGATCTGTTACCATGGTACGGTGAAGAGTAGTCGGGCACGTACCTGGGCGTGGCACCTAAACAGGGTATCGTAATTGTTGTGTTTTAAGGTGAGTTTGGTCGCCCGCTGGAAGAAGCAAAACCTGCATGGCATTATCTGCACCGCATCGAGATTTATGGCGTGTTGTCCATCTTCAAAGCCAACATCGCCTCTCTTATGCGAACCTTCACATCCAGTTTCAGCATGCTCTGCCATTCACTCTTGAAGACTTTCAGCTCTAATGGAGCCGACCACGAATTTTCAGATCATTTCTGCAACATGTGCCGACGCACCACGGAGTCGACCCCGTCACGGAACTCCAATGCTTGCGGATCAGGAACGGCAACATCATATGGAAGTCCAATGTGTCATCTGCCTCACACGGTTGTGAACTCGAATCTTGGTTCTCGACATGATACTTTTCGACTACAATTCAACCGCTTCTTGGTCGAGGATCCATCCATTGCAGTTTTTTCGGTCGGACAAGAAGCACCCATCTCTGGTGTTTGGAGGGATGAGGACCGCAGAGGCTGCTACGGGCTCAATCTGGCATATGGGTGGGCGCAAATCTTCGCCGCGCCGCGTTCTCGATGCAACGTGACAATGAGTGTTGGACGTCACTGGACACTTGGAGTGTCGAGCAAGGCGATCCGGTATTGGAGCGTTCAAGACGGTGTCATACTGGTGGACTGGGGTCAGCTCTACGAAAATTACTTTAAGCAAGTGGAAAAGACGAAGGACCGGCAAAGACCCGGAAGATTCCCAGGACGGAGTCGTGGACATGATGAAGAGACTCTGCCCAACCGGCCTAGGGAACGGGTAACACGAGTCCGTTCCGATCCTGCGACAGCGCGATCAACAGCTCACGAGATTGGTGCACGTTTCAGCAACGGTTTAAGGGTTGTGCGAGATGCAATTAGAAGTCGTGTTGGTGAAGGAGGATCGAAGACATCAGGGTCGGAGAGAATCGCGCTTGCGCGTGTTCCTATACTGTGGACAAACCCAAGTTATCAAAGGCTACGATAACGTATAATTGAGCGCCGGTAGATGTAATAGAGTTCAGGAACGAGAATGTTGTTGATGTTGTCGCGAGATTGATGACGTCTGTGTAAACTCAGACGCGTGACGCGTGAACGTCGTCCCGTTTTAGCGACAAAAAAAGTACAAACCCCGCTGCTGCCCCGCCGAGCATTTCACAACACTTCACTACCAAATTCGTTTTCCCAAAGTCGCCAATATGTCAGTCTGTGTAATCTGCGAAAAGCCCTTGGAGGTAGAAATCGAGCGTGACGAGGACGAAGAATTTGAGGGCGGAGCGTCGTCGTCTGGCAAAGGCCCTGCGGCGGCACCAGAAACATACCCCGACGACGTCCAATTAACCTGTGGATGCCACTTCCACTGGTATGCAGCTTTCCTTCCAGTCAATCGCGCGCTGCCACTGACACGCATTGTATAGGGATTGTCTCCTCTCCGCCTACGAAATAACTTCGTGTCCACACTGCGGCAAAGAAATCTCCACCACAGGCGACGGCACACAAAAGGTTCTCTGCAGACTCAACAACGAAGGCGGAATCCAAGAGAACCTCGATATCTTGCCCCTTCTTACCGAGGAGTCATACCTAAAAGCCTATCCCGAAGACAGGAAAGCACGCGCATTCCTCGAGTTCTGTCGCGAAGGTGACTACAAAGCTGTGGTCGATCTTCTGCTCGACGATTCGGAGGACGACGATGAGGATGAAGAGGGCGACGTCGAAATGAGCACCACAGACAATGCAGAGAAGGAGGTGGGTATCGATAGGATGTTGAGGTATCAAGATCCGATTGGGGATATGCAGTCGGGTCTACATGCAGCGGTACATGCGCAGAGTAGGGAAGTGGCTTGGTTGTTACTGCTTCTCGCGAGTAACTACCCGTTGTTGGACTTCCCCACGCAGGTTTTCCAGGAGGCAGAAGCTATGGGCATCATGAGGGGGCTTACAGAGGACAAGGTCGACATTCGGAGTTTGAGGGATGCGAATGGCAGGACTGCAGAAGACATCGCAAAGGAGATTGGTGGGGTGTGGGTAGGATGGACCGACAACAACCGGTTGGCGATTTGAGGTTCATGACAGGGCGTACAACCTACAAGCGGTAGTATAATCTTGGTTCTTATATGGACATTACATCTTTCTGAAGAAGGAGCACACAGAAAAGCCCTTGGAGAAGTCGAGAAGCAGTTGGCTGGCCTGCGTCACCGAGTCCAACTCACTCGACATTCAGGTGCTCAAAAAGAGAAAGCAGCAGATTTGAGAGAAGCGTCTATTCAGCCATACAGGCTCCTTCAATCCCATCTGCTAGGGTATGTTCAACTCTTCATGTTTGCGACCAAGCACAACAGCTTTTCATACAAAAGGGAGAGAATTTACACGATCTGCACGTCACTCCATGCGTATTTCTTATGACACATTGACATTCACATCCACAAGAAAAATCATCCTTGATGCTCATTCGAAGCTACCGCCACCACCACAGCAACAAAAAGAATGCGCTGCACACGTTTGCCAGAGCATACAAACACGCAAAAAGAATGGTTCGAAGAATCCTGAGCAAGCTCAGGCACGTTGTCCCCTTCGTGGATCGAACACGATACCTCCAGATTTAGTGACTGAGACTTCAGTCTGGCGCTCTCCCAATTGAGCTAAGGAGACGGTTGTGGGATTTGATGGAAGAACTTGATGTTAGGCTACTTATGACCTTCGCGATTTTTCCAGTCACCGCAGCTGCCTGAGCACTCATCGAAAAAGGGAAGTTCAAAGTGTCGCAGCGTCCTGAAAATCTTCTCCAAGAGTAGAGTGTGTTGGTGGGGTGAAAGCGGGGTTGGTTTTGAGGGCTAGACTCTGCCAGACTTGAGGGCATGGCACTTGACATACCAGAACAGGCACTTAGAAAGTGGGGGCATCGAATCCCTGTTTTGCTACAAGCAACGATTGTCTTCCAGTCTATTGTAGTGGTTCAGTGAATGTGCGCCTGCAATCAATAGTCGCAGGTTGAAGATGCACATTACGGGCTTTTGTCAATAGGTGTAAAATAACTTCCAACTGATTCGGAAGATATATATTTGTTGCAGAATAGATCGGGGTGTAACGTCGACCGCATCTCGCATTGAAATGCAAGGTTGCCATGGTACTGGAGAGCTTGCGAGTACACTATTGTTCCATCTGTCGTCTTTCCTCTGAATGACTTGGTCAACATCTCTGCAATATAGATTATTATTTTTCTAATGCATCCGTCTCAGTCGTCCTCTTGCAGGTGGGTCTCACGACTTGCGTGTACTCTTAAGCTCGTGGATTTTGACGTGTTCGGTACTAGAGTGCACTTTTGTTAGTCCGCAGAATAGATAATCACGCCTCATAAATGAACATGAGCGGTACAAGTATGTGAGTATCCCAGAGTCGGATTGTCGATATATCACCCATCTACGCCTGTGTATCATGTACTATCAAGTCGCCCTGAATCGCCATCGCCGTCACCAACTCCTCACTCCTCGCTCGTGGTATCTCATGCTCATGTAAATAGCAAACTTCGTCGTATCGGCCGTTATCCTTCTTCGCTTTTTGATCCGCACGTTCGCTCGAAGGTCGGATGACTTATTTTACAACACCCTCGTCTTCGTTGAAGCAGACAGCAAAGTCCTTGCTGTGCTTGTTGGTTGCGTGGTCGGTAAGCATCTTACGGCTCGTGGTGCCCTGGAATGTCTGGAAGCAGGTCTTGCACTTGATGGTCTGGGCGGCAGCGTTCTAGCGTCACGTTAGCAACTTGACTTGTAACCGTCGGTTGAATGTGAGGTCGCAAAGTTGCAAGATCGCGCAAACAGGTGGGGTTACGTACGGCTTTCAGTTGACTCTTTGCTTCCTTTGGGCCGGCATCGCCTGTAGTATTGGAGCACAAAATTAGTGTCTGTCTCACATGTCGTTGGCACACACTGGATTGCTAACCCTTCCTGTCGCGTTTCTGCTGTGCTCTGGCAAGAATGTTAGCAAATGTTCGCGCGCATGAAGGCACATATGGAATCGCTTACTTGGCTCCGTTACCCATCTTGTAGTTTGCTGGTAATCAGTTGCTGAGTGTGAGCGGAGATGTGTATGTCGAAAGCGATCAAAGTTTTTGGTTTGCTTGAGTGAAGGCTGACGGTCCTGAGAGATTATTTGCGGCGGCGGGGAGGGTCCAGGCCGTTGGTTGGAAAGGCGGTGTTGGCATCTCCGGCGTTAAGCGACAAAGGGTTAGCTTTCCGCGCAATCATGTGAATGAATCTTCCACGCCACTAAAGTCTTATCAACAACAACCCAGCGATGGAACCATTGTCGCTCGCGTCAATCGATTCAGAGCGTGTCCGCGCTGATGTAATTTGGTGGCAGCGAATTGCGAAGCTACACTTTGTGACGCGTGAGAACTCGTCACACGCTTCGTGTTTCGGCAACAGACGCGTGCTGTGGAGCGTTGTGCCCTGCAAAACCGGCAGCCGAAAATGATGACTATCCAGATAGTCACCATGAACGTTGGGTGTTGCGGCCAGGTAGCACGTCCTGTCTCGCCCGTGCAGTACATATGTCTAAAAGACCCAGCAACACAGGTAGTATATTTCGTAAGATCTATGTACTATTCTTCTTCACTGTGTCGGCTTTCCGTCCCAAGGTCCCCCGTCTTCCGTTCTTTTCCTTGAGCATCGCACAACCTTTCGTTCGCGATCCAGCCAGGTGCTCGGTATTACCCTCCGTCCTTTAGTCCTACCCCTGCCTTCTCTATCGTAACTTCTTTTCCGAATACCTCATATCACCTACGCTGTCATTCCATCCTCAACGTCATGGCTCATAGCCACAATAACCACGAGTCGGCACATGACCACAAGCATGGTCGCTTCCAAGTCAGCCGAAAGACACGTCTTAGAGCTGTCATAGCCATATCCTTCTGCTTCTTCGCGGCTGAAATATCCGTGGGCTTCTACACCAAATCATTGGCTCTCGTTGCTGATGCATTCCACTATGTGCGTCCTGCGTCACCTCGTATACCCGCGGTGCACCTGCTTTGCGGCCAAGCACTAACATCTATTGTAGCTGAATGACCTCATCGGCTTCATCGTGGCCTTAGTGGCCGTTCAGGTGACGGACCGCAAGACCTCGCCTCCGGATCTCTCCTTCGGTTGGGCGCGGGCTTCGCTTCTCGGAGCCTTCTTCAACGGATCTTTCTTATTTGCCTTGGGAATCAGCATTGCTCTCCAATCGATCGAACGCTTCATCTCCATCGAGCGAGTCCAAAATCCCAAGTTAGTTTTGATTATAGGATGCGTTGGACTATTTCTCAATATCATCAGCGCGTTATTCCTACATGAGCATGATCACGACCATGGCTCTGCGGGTAATGGCGATGAAGAGAGCATGTCAACTACACCCACACATGAGAACCACCTGCATTTGATCGCAAAGCCAAGAAGGCATGGCATGGATTTGGGTATCCTTGGTGTTCTCATCCATGTTATTGGCGACGCGATCAACAACATTGGTGTCATCATCTCAGCAGTGATCATTTGGTTTGTCAAATCACCCAACCGTTTCTACGTCGATCCAGCAGTCAGCATGTGGATCGCCATCATGATTCTGCTCACCGCCATTCCCCTCACAAAACGCAGCGGCAAGATCTTGCTCCAATCTGCTCCTTTGGGCGTCAAGATTGAGGACGTCAAGCACGACCTGGAGGCCATACCTGGTGTGCTGAGTGTGCACGAACTCCACGTCTGGCGCCTGGACCAGAAGAAGGCCGTGGCGTCTGCACATATCGTGGTCACTGACCCAGATATCGCGAGTTTCATGAAGAAAGCCAAGGTCTTTTCTGAATGTCTACATGCATATGGCATTCACTCAGCAACGCTCCAACCTGAGCTTGCTGTTCCTCCTGAAGAGCTCAACGGTGTCAAGAGTACGGGTAGGGAGGCAGCTTCAGGTGCCACCAGCGGTACAAACACAGCACGGACAAGTACTGAAAAGTGTGGCGTGCCCTGTGGTGTACTTTGCGAAGAGTTAAAATGCTGTAACTAAGCTCCCAATTTAAAGTAATAGCGGAAGCAGTTCCGCGGTCCCTGCATAAGCTTATTGAGAGTGGCGTCAGATTACCCCACCATGACCACTATGGGCGTGCCATAGTTGAGCACCAGCTTCATAGCATATAACAATAAGCATAACAATTCGTAGACAAACGGCTGAAGACTCTCTTGCTGAATGCCCTTTTCTCTAATAGCCACTATCCGCCTTTCTTCGATTCAAACTTCATCGATTGATCCCGTTGCTGCAGAATGTCGGGCAAAGAAATCCACAAGTACGGAACCGACGATGGCTGGCATGGTGTCATAAAAGAGGGTGGTGAATTCCCACCAGAGGAGGACAGATACCATCTCTACATTGGTAAGCCGAACCAACACTGCATACCGCGTCAGTAAGGCAAGTATGCTGAAGTATTCTCAGGCCTCTTCTGTCCTTTTGCCCACCGTCCAAACTTGGTCCGACATCTCAAGCACCTCCAAACCTACCTCCCTGTTTCTATTGTGCGTCCTTATCCGAAAGGTGAACCAGGCTGGCGTTTCGATGCTACTTACCCTAATGCAACCCCCGACCACCTCTTCAACAGCCAGTTCATGCACCAGCTCTACTTTCGCGACGATCCAGCCTACAAAGGAAAATACAGCGTTCCTCTCCTCTGGGACAAGAAGAGTAATCGGATCGTAAACAACGAAAGTGCTGAAATGTTGAAATGGCTGCCTAGTGCGTTCAACTCTGTGCAAGAGAACAGTGACAAGGCAGAAGAATTGGATTTCTATCCTCAAGAACTCCGCCAGAAGATTGACGAGATAAGCCCCTGGCTCCAGTCCTTGATCTGCGCCGGAGTCTACAAAGCTGGTTTCGCACCGAACCAAGAGGACTACGAGAAAGGCGTTATCCCTCTGTTCGCGGCACTGAACCGGCTAGAAGAACTGATACACAGTAACGGCGGCCCGTATATTCTTGGTACCAAGCTCACAGAACTCGATGTCCTGGCTTACCCGACGATAGTTCGCTTCGACACTGTTTACTCGCAGCACTTCAAAACCAACTTGGGGTCCATACGACATGACTACCCTGTTCTCAACAACTGGCTGAAAAATCTATATCATAACGTGCAAGGATTCAAGGAAAGTACAGACTTTAAGCATATAAAGGAGAATGTAAGTTTGGTTGTGAAGCTGAGTAGTGGGTGATGGCTGACATGGATTGCACATTTGTAGTATACGAAGAGTCACAAGGACATCAATCCGCTGAGTATCACGCCGCTGGGGCCTTATCCGGACGTGGAAGAAGGGTACGAGGAGGACTGGGGTAAATTACAGCCCGGAAAGGTAGTGCATCCGAGAGTGTTAGAGGCGCAGAGCAAGTTGTGAAGGGAAGGCGACAGGAGTAACGTCCAATGATGCTTGTAAGGCAAAGAAGACAACAATGCACAAGAGGAAACACCTGTGGTAATGTTTCATGTTCCATTCGCATCTAAATTTTTGGGTCATTCCAATGCCCATTATCCATAATGTACATACCACACATCGCCGACGGAGTATATCGTCTACCCGTACATGGCTCACCTGATCTCTCTTCTCAGAGCTTGCCATTCTACTGCGTCTTCTTTGCGCTCTTCTCGCTAGGCGCACTGTACAGCCAGACCGCAACAAAGGCCAGCCAACCCAACACGGTGACCCAGATGCCTCCGATCCAGACCCACGCACCGCTGATCTCGAAACTCCTTGGGTACTCGTCGTGCGCAAAGTGCCTGACGGTCACCTGCCTCTTCTCGTCGATGTTGGTGACGAAGGGGCGGCGATAGTTGACGCGGAAGTTGAAAATTCCGTGCTGGTCGGGTGTCCTGAATGCGACGCCAAAAATGGTTGCGTTCGCGGTTTGTGCGATCGGAGAGAGGTTCAGGCGCTGGAAGGGAGAAAGCATGCTGAACTCAAGCTGGATGTTGTCCTTGGAGGAGGGGACGAAGGGAGCGAGGTGGTCGTTGGTGTACTCGGAGATCTCGACTTGGAAGTGCTGTGCAGTTTAGTAAAAGCTATGTAATAACGATTGACATGAACTTACGACATCGGACTTGATGCGGTAGATGGTGGGGTTGTTCTCGGGGATTGCAACGCTGGTGTTCAACTTCTTGCTCGCACCCTCGTCCTGGTAGTGGAGGAGCTTGCCAACCTTCAGGACGCCCGTCTCCTTGAATGTCCAAGCAGAAAGCTTCTGCGCAAAGTCGCGGTTACCAGTGGTAACGGCCTTGTCGCCCAGCTTGGCCTTCTCTGTAAACCACTTGTTCTGAAGCATCTCGGCTGAACCGACAACAGCCAGGCGCGCAGCGTTGTTCGCTTGCATGGCAGAGACGAGGTTCAGTTGTCCGCCAACCGCAAAAGGATCTTCAACGCCATCGGCCTCGTCCTTGGGGTTATAGCTGTAGGCGGTGGCTGGGGCGCGTAGGACAGGCGACGTGAGTGGTGACTCGTTTCCAAGAGCTTGACCGACGGCGCGTGGCACAGCAATGTAGCCCTCGCCAGCGAAGTAGTTCTTTACATCTGGCCTGAGCGCGTTGGGGAACGGAAGGAGCAGAACGTCGTGCTGTTCCTGTGCGGATGACGAATCGTAGTTGAAATGGTCGACGACCAATGCGCCCTTGTCGGCTGGGATGTTGATGTCAAGTTCGGCGAGCATAGCCTGGACGGCCGTAGGTGTAGCGTGTTCGCTCGAGAGGGCGACGAGGATATTTCCATCCTTTTTCATGAATTCCAGGAAGTTGTTCGCTGTGAGGGCAGGGCCGAGGCCTTTGGACTTGCCAGGCAGTAGGAGGACATGGTCGTATGCTCGTTCGCCGTGCTTCAGTAATGACAGCTTGCTCTCTTTGGGCGATTCTACAGACGTGGTAAATCCTCGGGCTGTACGTACTTGTCAGCACTGGTCCTCACTGCGATGAGGTTCAATTGAGCATCATCCGCGGCGCAAGGCCAAGTTGCATGTTCAATTGATCCGCATTGTTACCGATACCCCGTATTTGGACGCCATCTTGAGCAAACCGGAGACATGACAATGTCCAGAAAGGGAATTGAAATAGTCAATCGACTTACACGTCAAGTCCTCAAGGAACACACTGTACTTCTCCCTCTCCGCCTGCTCTTCTAGCACAACCAGCAAGCGGTTGCCTGTGAAACTCTTGGCCTGCACCACCACCGACCACAGGAAGGCGACAGTAATAGAAAGTAACCACCTCATCTTGTGGCTGTTCGAAGTGGACTTGTCGAGTTGCGCCGCGTGGAGGGAGCTGTAACGGGAGCGATACGTATGCTTTTGCCAAGACCATCGGTCCCGGAAAATCGCTGCACGCCGATTGGAGTGGAGGTGGTGAGCTACGAGCAGCGACCTCACGACGTCTACTCACGCCGTCAACTTGCGATTGCGACACCAGACCGAGGCATTGAGCCTTTTCACTACCGGACCCAAGACCGCACCAAAACGAGTCATCTGCGTACGCGCCCACGTGCACTGCCAGTCGAACCCACGCGCTCACATAGCAGCAGCAACACAGCCATCATGTCCGGTGCTGGCCCCTCCCCACGCTTCTTCCAGCAGCCGCTGCGATACATGAAGTGGGCCTCCATCAACAAGCCAGCATACTTCTACTCCATCATGGTCGGCTGCGCAGGACCCGCACTCGTCGTTACCGTTCCCCCGATTCGGAGATATATGGGCGAGGAGCCGATCCCTAAGATCCCTATGACATACCCAGGTACGTGGCGAGAATAGCAAGTGTCGATTGTGGAGGGCAACGGGAATTGGGAGATTAGGCAGACCCGGGCAGGAACACGATTTGCTGACCTGGAACAGTACCAAAGGGACCACGACCAAGGCCGACAGGATTCGACGACGAATAGAGGACGGTAGCGGAGGCGGCTAAGAGAAGATGCATGAAATTATACCTCGGTCACCAAAGGCCAGACTCAGACGTGAGGCATGTAATAGAACCAGAACAGTGTACAAAGCACAATTTCATTTTCTCTAAAGTCCGTTTGACGCCAATATGGGAACCTAGATCGTACTTTCGTCTAACCGCACAACGCCCAGGAGGTTCTCACACTTTCTATCAAAGCTCACCGCCTACCTCATATTACCGCGTGGCAGATACGCCATAGTCGTAGCCTACTGAGTCCTGACACGCTTAGCCCTAGCATCCTCCACATCCTCCATATCACTTTCAAACTCTCCTTCATCACCACCGTTCTGCTCGTCCTCCACACTCAAGCCCCTATCCTGATGCATCCTCGCTGTATCCAAGTTCTTCCGCGCAATGTCATTACCTCCAGCCTTGTATGCCCGCTTAGCTGGCAGCACCCTAGGTCCTTCAGTCTCCTTCTCCCAAGGAATATCCTCCTTCTTAAACTCTGTGCAGGTCAAGTACTCAACCGGAAAACGATGAACGTCCAACTGGCACTTCGACTGGAGGATATTGTGCTGGTCGACAACGGTCTTCATGCACTCCTTGATCTCGAGCAGATGGTTCTCCAGGACGTTCATCGCCTTCTTTGTCATCGGAAACTTGGTATGGAACTGGTTGATGACGGATTTGTCCATGTAGGACTCGCCTCCTGTACCTATTTGCTTATAGAGCTCGTACCCACAGTCTGCGCTGTGTCTACCCCTCTCCATGATGAGACGCTGGCCGATCCAATGGCGGAAGAAAGTCAGTGCCATCCAGACTAGAATGTCTTTGGCAAAGGCCTCGCGCTTGATAGGCAGGTCTTCAACAGGTAGGCGCATAGAACCTGGGTAGAGGGACATCACTGCTAGCTCGACAGACTTACACTGGCTGAGCATGGCTCGATGGTACTTTTCGATTAAGCCGCGTAGACCAGGGACTTCGCGTAGGTAGTCAAGTGCGTGAGGGGCGGATTTGATAGTTCTCCAGTTACCGACCAGGTGGACCATGCACTCGCGGAAGATAAGTTCGCTACGAATACGGTAAGACATTTCAACCCATGCGTGTGGCTTCTTTTGGATGGCACGGAAAAGATCTTGACCATGTTTGAGGAGAGCAATCTCGATGGGCTTAGATATCAGTCTAGTGCAGCCTAGGTAATCCGCAATGCAAAGAAGTTGATAGCAATCTTGGAGCGCGGCGGACATGTCGGAGTCATCGATGGAGAATTCCTTGTTATAGAAGGCGTAGAAAATGCCCTCATAGTGGTCGAAGATCTTGGTAGCTTGAGGGATGCGTCCGTTCTCGTTGACGATCAGGCCGTTCAAGCCGTCGGCTCGCTCAGCAGTTGGTCCAAGTTCCTATAGATGTGATTGTTAGTGGCTGAGATACCGATGTAGGCAATGCGACAAATCTCTGATGTGTGATAGGGTTTTGTGTTCACATACCACAAGGCCGAGACGACCGGCGGGTTGTTGCTCGGAAGGAAGTTCTTTCAACTCAATCATCCAACGAGTCTTGATACCAGCATTTCTGGCGCGGTTGTTCAGTTTTGCGGCGTTGGGTTCGGTTAACATGTCAGCGAAGAGGGTAGAGTTGCGCGCCAGAGTACCAGAGTGAAACTTGTAGCGGCGCTTGTGGCCGAGAATAACCTCGACATCCTCTGCTTGGTTCATGTTAGTGTAGTAAAGTGTTGTTGGCTACCGGGAGTGTGGAGTTTCTCTGAACGGAGCAGAGTGATAGAAGGTTGGAGGCGACAGGTGGGGAGACTACCTAGGTATATATCTAGGTATATCGGGGAAAAAACGTTTTGAACTAGCGGCTGACCATGTACACGTGAAGGTAAAGATGGCTAGGTAATAGAGAACAAGTGCGATATTGCAAAGTGGAGCAGAGCCTACAATGACCACAGAAGTGAGAGAGACTCAAGTATCTGAACTCCGACGGGCACTTCCGGGAACGTCAAACGAATCGCAAACAGATCACTGACTACCTCCAGGCATAATTTACGCCGTTCGGAGGTCGCTTGCCGTATATACGGTAGGCTGTACGCCATACATATTGGAAGATGCACATAGTTTCCTGGCGCGGAGACTCACTGTGTAGATAACCTAACCAACACCGGTAGTATATCAAAACTTATTTCTTCCAGTAGGGCTCTATGCTGGATTAGGACGGAGAGGTATCAAGCACTACACAACTTTCAATTGACATGTGGATGTTGGGAGATAGAAGTGAACCCGATTAAAATCTTATAGAATTACAATATACATGAATAAGAACAAGAAATGCAATGGGTTAGCCATGGGCACTTGGCCTTGTCGATTCATCATCGTTAGAAGGCCAGGTGTTAGTCCCGCAAACATGGTGCATTAAATCATGTCCTTCCCTGCGACCTTAAAATTGTTGCCCATATTTAGACATTCCAGCATGAACCCCAACAAAATCGGTAGTGCTTCCATCTGCAAGGCGCTGCATGTGCACCTCTCGCACATCCATTACGTCTTTGAAGCAGTATACCGGATGACAGAGGTTCAAGAGCAAGACTGCCGCAACGATGACTGCGCCTTCCAATCCAATGAAATATTTCTGCGTGTTGGCAAGATGACCTTCCCATCCTCCACTCAGCTCAGCCACGCGGAATACGCACCTCGTGAATATACAGAGAGTAGAAACAGACAGTGCAAGGAGAAAAGCCTTGAACGGCCAGGAGCGACGGAGAATAGCCGGCTGTTGGTCCGGGGAAATCTGGCCCCGGGAGGTCCGACCGCAGTATGTACGCCACGCGAAGTCGGCAGCGAGGAGGATAAAGAGGAGTAGAGTTGCTACTTGGAAAGCCAGTCCAGCAATCATGATGTTGTTGCCTTTCTCTGGGTCCTCACCATTGTGTGTCGAGACACTGGCCATGCCTCCGCCGGCAGCCTGGAGCACGAGGGAGATGAAGTCGCAAGGAATGAAGATTTTGGGGTAGGAGAGCGGCTTGATACGAGAGTGCTGGGGACCAACGGTAGTGACAATGCGTGAGAGGCAGAGATAGATGCCTGCAGCGAGGAATGCGGGCGCGATGGTCAAGCAGATAATCTGGATGAGGAACGGGTTCTGTGCCATGTCAGCTTGTTCACCTAGATACGAACAAACTCATGGTTCCAAGTTGTACCCTAGTACTGTATAGTGTCGTGAAGGTACCCGATGTGCATTGCAGTCTACACGATATAGCGTGAGACATAGGGTATACCTTTACGATAGATTCTACATGTGCACGTACAACTCGTAACTAACGAGACACTTCAAACCCTTTTAAACGAGAACCCTCAGACATACCTCAGCGAACATGTCCTGGTGGGCTAGTATGCGCCCAACATAACCGACGGCTTCGAGAGCGCAGCCAGAGGCCATGGCGATAGTGAAACCGAGCCATTTCTTGCTTGCGATACCCTGCGCAAGGAAAGCGATAGTAGATAGACCGAACAGTGCAGTGAAGGTAATGTTCGTGCTGAGTGAAGGTCGATAACCCCAGTACGCATACTCAATAGGGCATGCCTCAGTTACGTAGTAACAATGACTGCCATCGGAACTGATTATCATCTTTGCGAATGCCGATAGTGTCGTCTGCTCGTAGGATGGTATTGCAAGGTGCTTGTCGATGTGAGGTATGAGTAAGGGAAAGAGCTAGAACGCTTGTGATTCTGTCAATATTACACCAAGAGGTCAAGGAGCGCCAAGGTGAAGAAAAGGCGGTATCAAATTAGGGAGTGGTTATTCGAAACCGACATAAGCGAGCAGCAAACCGGTAGAAGTAGCGAGTCTGGGCGGCGCCCCAGAAAAAAAAGATTGAAGATGAAGAGACTGTGAATGTATCGTAGTGAGTAAGACAGACGCGCTATTGCGCTGAAACAGAAAAAAAGAGTGACAGGAAACAGGACATCCTACAAGCGGTTCGCAAGGCCGTGGGTGGGTCGATGTTTTAAACGCTCGCCCAACTACCCAGGTAGCATCAACACTCCAATTGTACGCTAAGACTCGAAGAGGAAGTGTACGAAGATGCGGTCCGTGCATACCATGTGAAGCCCGAGACCGCTTTTTGCTTTTGAGACACTTACGCAACGCTAATATCAAGAGCTTGATCTTTCAAAAGAACCGAGCATCTCTTAGAGCTGCCGTTTGTTGGGCTGCCTACCAAACCTACACTGGTAAGCCAATAGCCCAAGGTCTGTCCTCCTCGTGGGATCCAATCGTACATTACATCTCCTCAAGGCAACGAAAGCCGGGGTCATAACGGTGTCGGCAATAAAAGTCCGATCCATCATTAGCGGGCAAGGTGTTACGATCGCTGATTGTAATATTGGGTTGTGTTGATAAGCCGAAGTTCAGTACCATGGTCGCATTCGCTCCGTGAACGAAATCACCTTCTTTGCAGGAAGATCATGTTCCGCACAGTCGGCTCATGTGAAGGGTGACTTGGTAAGCCTCTTTAATCAGGTTATCATTGAGCACACCACATGTCGCCGTATGACTTCTTCGTAGTCCGCATTGCGACTCTATGCAACACCGATCCATTAGGCAAGCGGTAGGAAGTCTCGAGCTGAGAGATCTCAGCCATTGTTCATCTAAGAGTAATGCCGACACCTTTGATGACAGAGAGGAGGATGACGTAACGGTAGCATGGATGCTCATGGTTGGGGCTAGGGCTTCACTACGTGCCACTATAGCGCTGTGAATGCAGGAACTTCCGACGATGGTATGTCATGGAATTTCCTTTTTCGTCTGCAAAGATATCAGCATTTGTTTAGCCTTTCGTCATCATTTGGATTCTTCGGTAGGCCAGAGAGAGAGCGGCCTCCGCGCCTGATGCCTTCCACAGCACAATCGAGGCTGCGGAAGAGTCCGCTCCATGCTCTAGTAGTACCATCAAACATAGGAGTTGGAGCTTCGAGCGCGACGACAGTATCGATGCGTCATTCGCATATGGTGAGTTGATGTTGGATGCTCAGCACATTGGAAAGGCTATACGAAGCTATTGCGAGGTACCGGAGCCCCCTTAACGCCACGCCAAACTGCCCCTCCGAGACGGCCGAATGACGTAGCCCGCAGCCAGCAATCGATAGGATTCACCCCCACACAGAATGCTGCGCGGAAGTCACCAAGCGCGGGGTTCTCGAATTTGGTGCATGTTTATTGTGGAGTGGAGTACTGCTTTGAAATGGTCCTTTTGCCATGTGCTTGCAGGGTCGGCCACTCTCACAAATGCAGATCCAGGACTTGGGCTTTGTGACTTGAAGCGAATACGTTCCCGGTCGTTTGGAGCATTCTGTACTCCCTGCGGTCATTAGTTGTAGGGCTGTCTAACAAGACCACAGGCAAGGCTTGGTGTGTAGTTTCTTTGAGTCGCCATTTGAATACTAATGATGCACTCGACTACTTAGTACAAGACCGTCTTCGGCGCTGTCCCGATCGCCGGATCATGGTAGACTTTGTACGATAGGTTTCGTCTTCATATCGAAGGCATGTGTAGGACAAAAACTGCCACGACGTTCTTCGACCGAGAGATTCGGGGACCATAGCATCGTAATCCTAGAAACGCAACTGAATCTCGGATGTACGCAAGAGACGGAAGAAGTTGCATAAATTCTATGCGTGTGGTCTTTGCTCATCACTGTGCAGCATGGACGGTGCCAGTGCGGATGGCCGAGGCTCCGATGCCGTAGAGATGTTCCGAGTGTCGGGCAGCACCCGGAAGCCTGAGGTACGGGGGGTGAGGACGTCTAGATATGTGTCGAGGAGTTTGGAAGGTACAGAATCACGAGGGAAAAGGAGAGAAGGGCAGCCCTGATTATCATTTGCTGATCAGGTCCAGGGACAATTACCAATCCCCTGCGGATCCTACCTGGTAGCGCCACCAGCACGGTCACTGCAAGACGATGTGCATGCAAGCCAACGTCGACGTGCTCCGACAGCTGTGCATACACGCATACATCTGCTCTGTTGAATCCTGTCGTCGTCGTCCACATTGCATTTCCATTGCGGCCTGGTCTCTTGATCGCTGTATACACTAGCAGAGACCCTGCTTTGGCGAGCTCAAGGCCACATCACTGAGCCCAAGTGCCTGAGTATTGTCTTGGCGGCGGGCGAACCCCAATCCCACGTCTTCGGCATTACCGCATCATCAACTGTCACTCGTTCCGAACACGCTCGCGACGCGGTCTTGACCTTCTGGCTTGTTGGCTGCTGGACGTATTGGAGCTGCCACCAGCTGCATCCTGTCAGTACTGATTCCGACGAGTAAATAGAGGGGTTCTCCGCTAACTGGCCCCCAGTACCGTCCCTCACACAAACCCCTCGAAAAAGGTGCGTCAAGCTCCCGATACCGCCACACCCCGTTCCGACCTTTTTTGCGAGAGACCCTCCCTTCCCAAAGCAGCTGCGTATCGGACGCGCACACTGTTGGCGATCGCGTGGCTAATGCGGGCATGACAGCACGATAGCGGACCGACTTGGACATTGTAGAATTGTTCTGCGAGTCACAACCACCCCGCTGCTTGGGTGACAAACGTCGGAGGAAGGATTGCCACTATGGCAGCGGCGACTGCGGGTAAGTAAAGGAAGTCGTTGTGGCCAGCCCGCAACGCTCTTCACCCATTTCCTACTAGCACCATGATGCACCAACATGCCTCGTCTGCGCCTACTCCCTGGTCTCTCCAAATATCTGACATCGCTTCTTCCCTTCGCAGGCTACGAGTGGAACCGCTCTTCGCCGCTGCGCTCTTCGCCCGACACATCATCCTCCATGTACCCCGATCGGCCCATTCGCCCTCTGCCGGCTCGTTCCCTGCGCGCCCGCTTGTCTCCTGAGCAGGCCGAGACGATAGTCTTCCCCCACAACCCGCCTTCCACAGGCCCGCTCTTCAACTATCCCCCCTACACAGCCGACGAGCGCGTCAGACCTCACAGGACTGGAGCCAACGACCACCATGCATGTCACTGTGGCCACACCCACTCTGAGGTTGAAAGTGAGGAGGAAGAGGACGACCGGAACGGCCCGCTGCCCTCTTCCCCGAGCTATCAATACAGCAGGCACGCGACTGGCAAGCCGGTGGCGGGCGTGACTGGTGCCTATCGCAAACCAGGCTCGCCTGCGTCTTCGGTAGATGGCTATGAGTCGTTTGAGAATACGAACAACAAGAAGAAGCGCAAAATTCCCAACATGGGCAGTAACGGATCACATCACGCCAGTCTCTCGGCGGATCTGACTGGCATGGGCATCGCGCAAGCTCACGAAGCAGGTGCCACAGACGACGGTGACAGTATTGCGCGTTACTATGGCTCGGCACCTTCGACACCGCAACACGCGACCAATTCTGGCACAGGCATCTCAGGCGCAGGCAGAGGGCGTTTCGGCCGATCTGGCTCGGGACGGTCAGAACGGCGAGTGTTGGCCAATTCGACCAATCTCGCCAACGCCAAAGCGAACAGCAAACGTACGGTGTCACCTCGGGAATTGATTCGTCTTGACTACTAAAAAGAGTCCGTGCGCTAACGATTTGTTTTCTAGGACCTCCGGAGCAAAGCGGCATCATCTCGACTGCCATTGCCAACGCAAACGCGACCCCGCCACCCCCTGGCAACGAGAACGTGAGCCTCCTGCAGCAGGAAGCTGCCAAGCATACCGCCAGCAAGACACAGTTTACTTTCACCTGCGGCTCCGACTCGGCCAACAAGATGGTTTGGCCGGGCCAGGAGAACGGCCAGTATCCCCAACCGCCTGGCGCATACCCCAACGCCGCCTCTCCCTCACCCCACCATCAAGCTGCCCGTGCACGCCCTCCCGTCCGCCCAGATGCCCCGATGGTGTCTACCCAGGGTACCCAGACCAGCCCCAACATGAATGGTGCGGGTGCATACCCCCCTCCACCCCTCCCCAATGGGACTGCACGACGTCCAACGGGCCCCCCACCACCACAGCAGGCCCCGCCGCCTCGAAAACCACGGCGTAGTGCCTCCAAACTGTACGAGTACGCTGCTCGCAAGCGTCGCATCCAGCAAGAGTACGCCAACTTCCACAATCCACCCACCCAGCCATGGATATGCGAATTCTGCGAGTACGAAGACATATTTGGTCACCCTCCTATGGCTCTGATCCGCCAATATGAAATCAAAGATAGGAAAGAGCGCAAGCGTCTGGCGGAAAAACGACGTCTGTTGGAAAAGGCTAGGATGAAGGGACGCAAGGGGAAGAAGGCGAGCAAGAAGGCACAGAACAACGCCAATAATGCTCAGCACAACCAAAATCCTCCTCCTCCTGGTGGGTATGACCGTCGCGATGATGAGGGCTCTCTGGACCCACAGGACGAGTACTATGACGATGATTACGACGAACCAATAGCTACTTGTCCACACGGTTGCCAGCACCATCCGCATCCTCCCCATCCACACCCGCAAAAGGTTCCAGGTTTGCCTCCTGGAGACCCTCGGGTGGGCGGGCCGCCTGTTGCCAACGGCACCTAACAACCGGACGAGACGGGGTGGGCCGTCTGCGTTCTTGCATTATGTCTTCTTGTACTGTCTTTCCGCGTTGCCTTTATGGTTGGAGTCGTTGCAGCTGTTGCTCGGGTATCCAGACGTGGCGTCAAAAGAATCTTTGAGATGACAGGAGGTTGACACATTTGATCGAGCACGTCCTCTTCTAAGTTCGTGATACCGCGCTGTTACCGACTGCACTCCACTTCTCCAACCTGGGGTATATCTTTCTACGTTATTTTGCAGCGTTCAAGCATTGTTTCAAGCATTTACACGGAGTCCCTGTATACTCGGTCGTTTCCGATTTCACACTACCCGATTACGACTCACTCGTTCTCAAAACCCTATGTTTACGACACAACACGAAACAACAACAACAACAACAACAACAACAACCATACACCCCACTCTAAACCAAAAAAAGCTCTCAAATTCAACACTCGAGACGGACTGTGTCAGTTCACGAATGTCCCACCGGCAGTGTACGAAGTGTAAATAACAACAGACCGGATGGCGATCTTCAAGTTCAACAGCTGCTCGATCCAGTTGGTTCAAACGGATTCGTATGCTGTGTTGAACAGTTACCTGTTGATACATCATTATATTACATAGTTTACAAGTTGGTAAAATCTAGCCAGAAGCCTCCACGTATGTAACACCAAGTAATCGATGAAGCATCCATCCGAGCTCGCCATATCCCTTAATTGTGATCAGTGCTACCAATGTGCGACTTCGTATAGATGTATAGCATTGTAAGTTGATAGAATCTCATGCCTCGTGTCTTGTGTTGATGCAGTAAATGTTGACTTTATTTGTTACGTCATACGACAAGTCCTCGTTCGTCTGAGCCAAGCTCGCCTATCTATTGACCTCCCCATTTACATCCTCTCTACGGGACTCAGTCCCAGTACCCTCATTCCATTATACAGCACCTGCCTAGCAGCAACATACAGCGCCAACCTAGCAATCATGACGTTCTTCTCCGAACCTACTACCTGCAAGTGGTCGTAACTGCTGCTGAGGGCATGTGCCATCTTGAACAGGTAGGTAAGCACGGTGGTGGGCTCTTGCGTCTTGATCGTGTTGAGGAAAGTATCGGGCCAAGATGCCAATTGGCGGACCAACTCGACAGCCTTGTCTTCTTGAAGCAAGCTCAGATCGGCAGATGTGAGGTCGAGGTCAGCAAGGCTAGGGTCGGCGTCTACGGCCTTGCGGTAAATAGAGCAGAGACGGGCGTGGGCGTATTGCAAGTATGGGCCTGTGTCGCCTTCGAATGAACACATGCGGTCCATGTCGAAGGTGTAGTTGTTGATACGCTTGCCCTTCATGTCTTGGACCATGACGGCTGAGATACCGAGTGTGTCTGCAGTTTGCTCTGGGTCTTTGACTTGGGCATATTTTGTCTCGTTGGTCTTCATGACTTCATGCATCTTGTCACCAACGTCGCGGAGGATATCGTCGAGGAACTTGGCTGTGCCTTTTCGTGTCGACATACCTGTGTGATATTAGTGGTTTGATCGAACAATAAGGAATTCAAGGTTGGATCGTACCAAGGACCATGCCGAAGTTGATGTGCTGGCACTTGTCGGAAATGTCTTTCCTGCCCATGAGCTCTTCTATTTTGAAGAGTTGGGCCAAGTGCAGGTCTTGTTGCGAGGCGACAACGTAGATCATGCGGCTGCAAAGGTATTAGCAATGCATGTTAATACATGGGGACGATCGAACATACTCAAAGTGGTACTTCTCAACACGCTCAATGGCAGCGCCAATATCTCGGGTCAGATAGAGTGATGTACCGTCCTTCTTCTTGACGACAGCCTTGCCAAGCTTCTTGGAATGCTTTGTGAGGTCGACAATGACGGCACCTTCTGAATCCTCACAGACCTTCTTCTCCCACATGATCTTGGCGGCAAGGTCCATACTCTCGTCCTTGACTTGGGACTCTCCGCTGTAGTCGTCGTAGTGGATGTTGAGTCGTGCGTATGTCTGCTTATACTTCTCGATAGACAGGTCCTGCATAAGTCAGTATACGACACTTGACGATGTGCGATCTGCCTCGACTCACCCTGAAGCGCTTCCAGATACCGAGCGCTTTAGGCTCACCATCAACCATACCCTTGAAGTATTTCCTAGCCTGCTCATCGATGCCCTCAGCCTCGATCTTCTTGACCTCGGCTTCCTGCTCAGATGCGTCCTTGCCCTCCTCTTTCAGCTTCGCAGCTTCGGCCTTGAGAGCCTTCATTTTCTCCGCCTCCTCGTGCTGGACGTTGCTGACCCTGACATAGATGTCATACAAGTGTCCAATGGGGTTCTTAACGAGCTCCTCCTCGTTACCGTAGAGGTCGAAACCGATAGCCAAGACACCGTATTGCTTGCCCCAGTCTCCGAGGTAGTTCATACGAACGACATCCCATCCTGCGCCCTCATACAAGTTGGCGAGGAAACCACCAATGATTGTACTTCGCAAGTGTCCAGCATGGAAAGGCTTTGCGATGTTGGGCGAACTGAACTCGACGATCATCTTCTTTGCGCCGGAGGAGGGATCAAGCGGGTTCTTGAGACCAAGGTTCTTGTTGAATCCATATGCCTCCTTGGACTTGAGAACCATGGGCAGCACGAGCGATGTGAGCGTCTCTGGCTTGAAGAAGAAGCCGATGGAGGTGTTGGTAACAATCGGCTTCTTCACCAGCGGCGACTCAGGGAACGCATCTGCCAGTTCCTGTGCAAAGGCCTTCATGTCCTTCTTCTTTTGTCGGAGCGCGGGAACAGCCAACTGCAAGTCTCCATGCTCAGGCTTTGCAGTCCATGCCAGTGTAGGGTATATGATCTGCTTGTCTACGCCAGACACGGATGACAACAACTCAGTGATGTGACTCCGGTAGATGTCGAATGGGTTCAGGGCGGGGTATGTGTTTGGCTCCTGCGGGACCTTGTCCAGGCCGAGCGTCGCGAGCGTGTTTGTGAGGTCCTCCATGCTGACTGATGAGCGCGCCGACGCGTCGAGGTTTCTGAAGGGCTTGAAGGGTGTCGAGTCAATCTGGGAGTAAGGTCGCAGTGAATTGGACGTCGCTATCGCTCTGACGTTGTGGTGTTCGTATGAGGTGAGCTGATATTGCGAACGGGGCCGCGAGCCTGTGTGCGGTCGGAATTGGGAGGGGAATGTGTGGAGGGAAGAGACGCGCGGGGTGCTGGACTTGAGGGTAGCGTGTGCTGCTATGACTGCACTACGGATATATTTCTGAGTCAAGGAAGAAGAATGAGTCGCCAGCGGCCTCGTCAAACAAACGTTGGTACAAGGAAAAAGTCTGGCGCGACAAATATTTACCAGACTTTGCTGCATACCAGATGTGGGGTAGCTGCGATGCGTCAATGGTTCGGGAGAGATGCGAGCAATCGCGCTAGTACAAAATTTTGGAGGGGCAGGGAGCACCGTGAGAATGCTCCCAATCTGTCTCTTCTCCTACTCATCGCAAACAGAGGCGCCACAGCGTCGACACAAGGCTCGTATACGCACGCCTCACACGATTTGGATCTTGTGCCGCCAGATCCTGACATGCGCAGGGCGTACATGGCGGCACATGCTCGTGCTCATTCTCCTGCACATTCTCCTGCACCTCGCCGCCGTGAACCAAGCACAACATATGACATGGATGACTCGGATACATGTTGAGTCAGATGCACTTCTGTTGACGCAGTCGAGCGAATCAGTCTCACATCCGACGTGCCATTGACTAGGTCTCCAACGATGCCTAGCTGTTCCCTGTTATCGCCGCACAGCCTGACATACTCGAGCGATAACCATGAAGTGTACATGTCCATGTCTTCTTTGCCTAGCATCTTGTTCGCCTAGTCTCGGTCACCATGTGCAATCTTCACCACCGCCCCGGTATCCTCCCCCAGGTCTAGGAGATAGTCTAATGTCCCATACACGTCGACAAAGGATCTTTCCATCGGTACATATGGTAGCTATGGTATGAGCTGATGATACGTCGTGTATGGTTGCGGCTTACAGGTTTCACTTCCGCCAGCTACCTTTGCATCCAGTTCAAGATTGTGCACGTACGTTTCATTCATCATGAATACGAAGCAATGTCGATGGAAACGCGTCCAGTTCTCTGCTTTGTTACGACCTCCACAGGCACCCCCTCGCCATACGGCGCCTGCTGTCTTCTCTCTCCAATTCTTACTCTCGGTGTTAGCATTCGAATAGTCTCCACCACCGAATGTGTCAGAGAAATACGCGGACAGAGGTATGACTATGTCTGAGTTTAGCAGCAACTTCGTCTCACCGATTATGGGGACCAAGGTATAAGTCGTCGAGATCGGTTCGATGAATGTGCCATGGTATTCTTGGAGAAAGCATGGTGAAGGCGAGGTTTCTTCCCTGGTCTCAGCCATACGTACATACGACGCGACTAACCCCTCATGACGCGAGGATCCCTTCCATCGCACAAGAAGAACCTTCTGTGCTGCAACTTAGTGCAATGTTCTGAGCCCTCTCTACATCGCTCAGAATTCACGCATGTTTTTCCTACTACAGTGACGTCATTTATCGCATCATCACTGTAGTATGGGAATGATTGCTGTGGGGTTTCTTTTGTCAGAGAAGAACTACCAGTATTATTTTTCGGGTTGTTCAGTGTGTATGGTCTAGCCAAAAACACCTCGAGGAATCTACTTCTAGGAAGTAATGTATCAACATCTCAGTTCTCAGATGTGCGTCCTTTGGACACTTAACGATCAAGCTATTACTCCTTGCGCAAGTGACACCATCCATACATTACTCGGCATGCGCGGCCCTAATTTCACCGTAGTATGACGACGCCTACATCAATGAAGGCGCAATGAATCCATCAAGTCGGAGCGTTGTGCTGCGTGTCGCGATCTTACGTCCTACGTGATACCCAGAAGCCGCTGAACGCCACCAATAAATATCCTTACATCTTGTCATGTATGGTAGTATCTCAACTAGCAGATGAATTCTCAGGTACACTATCTAATCGTCATGGCGTGAATGTGAATTGGAACTTTGGAGGCCAAGGCCTCATTCGGGGTTCACATCGTCTAAAGTAGGCCAGAACGTATTCACATCTGCAGCCAAATCATAGGGAATTGCAGCTCTCAAGCTCCGGAGTACTTGTCAACTTATCTGTGCATGATTTGATGTGTTTGATGCCAACGACGAGCCGATCGCCTAGCGTCAGGATGGCATGCTGAAGCCGGTGCCGAACTGCTGCAGTATTGAAGTCTTCGCTCAATGGCTGCATCCGAAGGATCTTTGGTTGGTGATACGTCAGATAGACTGACACTGATGGTACATTAATAGTTTCGAAAGTGAGGTTCGTAGAGGCTGAACTAATCGTAGATGAACGAGGCAGCTGTAGGTGACGCGTGTCACTTGTGTGGCGCATATCGTAGAGAAATAATGTCGCTTCCCATGTGTCAAGCTCACTTGATGGATGAACGAGAATCTGCGGCTTAAAAAAATTCTATCGGGACTGACTACTGTCTATATGTGGCTTTGACATCTCTTAGTTGTTGCGCGTGGCAAAAGCCGGTGGCAGAATTTGACTGCGCTACTGACTGCGTGAATGTACTCCATCTCAGACCCTTTCCTGTAGGGGAAGGGTCGTGGCGTACCTGCAAGAAAAGCGATTCGCACAACGTCTTACCAGCGATAAATTTCCGCGCTCCACGACTTTTTGGGGATGTGTTGCATGGACAGACCCCGCCATCCCTGAAGTGGCGTGGGGCGCTTCCAACAGTGTGGTTAAACATATGCTTGGATACGGAAGCAGATCTGATGCATATTAAATCGAGTACTCCGGTAGTCATCTGAGACGTGTATCCCGATGCGAGCAGTATGCATCCTTCTCATGAACGAATGTGTGATCTTCAATGGTCAAGCATTGGGATGGGCAATATCGGAGGATGTGTTTGGTAATATGTTTAGAGACTTTCTGTCCGGGTTGGTAGGAAGATGTGCTGCCCGAGCGAGTACTTAATGACCAGAATTGTTGATCGAACAAGGATGGAACCATACATCGGGGTCTGATTGCCACGCGGCAACTGCGATCGACTCTTAAAAGCGCATTGGACTAAAAGAAGCGCAGTACATCTGAAGAGAATGGGTGTCAGGGTGATATGGGCGGAATTTCGGCGAGGCTTCCAATCCAGCGGTCAAGACGATGGCCCAAGGTCGCTGATCAGTAGATCTTGTGAAAGGCACGGCTGCCTAGTTGTACGGCATCGGTTGCTGCGATTTGCTTCCGCAAAAGTATCTCATTCTTTCCAGCTTCCAAGATTCGACACATCGGCTCTTGAGCAGACGGCAAGCCTCGGCGAACTAGGAATATCCTTGCTGATTATCCCTTCCAAGCCCACTCGCATATTGCCAGATCGGATTCGGCAACTAAGAAGCGGGATAAGGTACGTGATGTGGGCCCCCTGTCAAGCGACTCGACGAGCGTGGGAAATCTCAAGACCTGAGCTGAACGCCCAACCTTGGATCAGGGTCTCATTCATGGCTTCCCCAGCCTTCCTTTACAAGCAATGCTGAGATGACACAAGCGAGCAAGATCTAGAAAAGTATCCCAGAGGACTATAGACAGAATGTGAGAAATGGGTAGAAATAGACCCTGTGCAGAATGCCGAACATGGTGAGGATGCGGCAAATTTCTCTTAGAACCTTGCGGGACCAGCGTGCGTAACAACGTTCGGAAGATAGACCGGGAAGACGGCAGAATCGAGGATAAAGCGTGTTACACCATTCTGGTAAAGCTAGCCAAACAGCTTGTGATGGAGCTGACAGATGTCCAACATGCGGTATAAGATCTGTATGTAGCCGCCTGTAACAGTGGAATTCGCCTATAGTAATGCAGTTCTGGCATGAATTGGCTTGCGGAGAAATTCGAAAGACGCAAGTGAAGGGATGGAGAAAAAGATCAAGAGCCTTTGCACCGGTAAGGGGCAGGTGCACATGATTGTCCATGGTGGTGGATGAAAGTGGCTACCACCAGGGCGGAACGGTGTACAGGGAGGATGTTACTGCGGAGTCCTGATGTAAATAATATTTCTTTTGTGAGATTCATGGCGATAGCGCAAGGTGCAGCCGTGTGTGTCACAAAGGCTTATTCCAGGACGACGGCTCGGTAATTGGTGCTCTCGCGTAGGCCACGCAGCTATACCATGTAGTCGGGTCAGTAGTTGTGCCTTGATCGGTAATCTTGCAATGCTAGCCGTAAGACAGGCGGACGCTACTGGCTAAAGATGCTCCTCAAGAACGCCGACTCTCAAGCTCCACGGGCGACATGTCAATGGCGGCAACGCTAGGCCGATGCGCAACAAGCACGGTCATGGCTGGGTTTACTATGCCAGAAGAAATGGAAGCAGGCGGACGCGCTTTCGAAATGGGGGAGGCTCAGCTCAGGCCAATAGCGGAGGGCGGCAAGCCATGAAATGCAGCCCACTGCAACAGGTAAGAATCGTTTAGATGCTTGTAGCTTGACGGCTCTGTATAAGACGGCGTACTCACCGTCTCCGAGAAGGCCAGTCGATTACAGGAAGCAAACTGCCGCTCAAAACTCAAAGGCATTGGCTCCAGACTCCTTCGTCAAGTGAGACATTTTGCATCTCTTTCATCATTGACGGTTCAAAACGTCCCGAAACTGCATCTGGGTCTGCTTCCGCCGGTGTGCATTGTATACCCGTCGACGTCGGGCACGGCAGCCAAGAAGAGGTACGTCGGATAAGCTAGATCCATTGCAGAGGGTGTGGTTCATGGCGGACGACGCTCCGTTGGCGGTACTGCCGTCAATGCGAGCAGAGATGGGATGGTGGATGAGGAAAGGCACATCTGACTGTGTGGGCAAAGCATGGCTGATATACAACAGCAGCATAGAGCGTCACAGAACTCTGACAAAGCCGGCGCCTTCTAGAGGCCCCGAAGAAGCTTCTTCCCAGCCCATGGCAATATTGCGATAGAGCGCATTCAGTATTGGCATTGCCATTGTCAAATCGCATCAAGTATCACAATCACGGCGGAGACTCGCAGCGGTTTTGTATAACTTCTGGGGCAAAGGGCAAGACCACACCCTCCACACGCTCGAGGAACAGGCGGGCAGGTGTGACAAGCCAGAAGGTGAGCAGTTCATCTCGCTTGGTTACGCGTTCATCCCGTCTTTATTCATTATCCCTGTCGCCACATGGCCTGCCGGGTTCCTGTGACGCATCACATTCGTCAATTTCCCTGCAACACCGTGTGCTGCATCTCTACCACATACTCCGCGCTATCGTCTTCTTCTGTTGCCGCCTGCCGTCTGCCTCTACATATCTCTTCTCATCTTCGATGCATGGACGAACGTTCGCTCTTTAGCCGAAGGGCTGCATGAACAGCGCCAATTACAGGCGCAAAAGGCGGACCCTCCACTGGAGAATCGCGCCGAGATGTGGGGTGGCGCTGGGGGCCTAGGCGGACTGGTGAGGGACTTCCAAACCTCACCTCTGCCTATATCCTTCGAGATATTGCTCGCTGCTGCATTTTTGCTCTTCACTAGGCGGCTATGAGATTAAAGGGTCCTAGTATTAGGTTCAACTGCACAGAACGAACCATCGTCATCCTAATGGAGGGGCGGCCCCATGTGCACCAAGCGAGTTTAGATGACGAGTCTGACTCGTGGCTTGACTTCATTTCCTATATCTTCGTTATCCAACATCGCACAATCCTGCTCTAAGGCTTCGTCTTACATCAGAGTCTTTTTTCTGTCTTTCCTGTCCTCCGTTCATCCATACTTTGCTTGCTTCTCTTGTTTCGCCATCTTCTTCTACATCAACAGCACAAGTGGACCCTCAACACCCTAACAGCTGGGTTGCTATTTGCCTGACTCAAGTCATTCCATGAAACTCTACTAAGAAATACAGGTTCAGCCTTCATCAGATGCGAAGAGGCCCCCGACGTGGAAGAGGTAGAGATCAAAATCCCAACCGGGGCGCGTCTTCTAGGAGAGACACATCAAATCCACCATCAACCTCTCAAACCAGATTCACTTCACGACAGATCACCGCACGAAACAGTCGCAGTCACGCATCGCTCAGGCGTTCAGCTCGCATTGCGGGATTACTCAACGGAGAATCAGATCATCAATTAACCAACGCCACATCCTCGATGGCTGACGTTGCAAGGCCGAGAGCGCTAGGAAGCAGATCTGTTCGCTCGAGGCATCAATCTGGAAACCATAATACTTCAGGACGATCGAGATCAGGTCAGCATTCTCCATCACCGGAAGAGATTCGGTACGCCATGGATATCGTAGTACAGCCGCCACGAACTGCCCGAGTTGGTCAGACAATGCCTGGATCGATCGTGGTGCGATTACGAACCATCGACGCGGATATTGATGATGCTGTTGCAGACTCGACAAATCTTGTTGCAGTCGCCGCTCTGGTTCCGGGCCCAAACACTCCGGCCTCAGTGGATTCGAACGCTCTCAATGCGGCACTCGCCGGGCGGATCTTTGACTCTATTCACCCATTCAACGACGATGAAGCGGATGGATCCATTGCCTCCATGGAGATGGCCGACCCCCACGGTGTAGGCTATATGCGCTTCCCTGAGCTCATCATTCGCCAAGCTGGTACCTATCGAATACGCATCACTCTCATCCGCATCCGCAACTCTGCTACAGATCCACCAGTCATGTCTGCAGGCAATGGCTTGGCTGTGCATGTCGTCGATAGTAACCCCATCATTGTCAATGGGGGCGGATCTTCGTCGAATATGGCTGCATACAACGGTAAGTATCTAGTGGCAACCTATTAAATTTCTTCAGCTTCCTGATCATTTCTTGTCGCGAACCACAGGGGACGGGGATATAGATGATGGTGGTTGGCTTGATGTTTTGCGATCCATCCAGGACCGACGCAGATCGCAGGGTTGATTGGTATTTTGTACGATTAGGGGATTTGATTTGGGCAAAGTTATCATTTCTGGCGAAGCAGACACTTGGCTACAAATGAGAATGTCACGTTACAGAACAAGATGGCCAGGTCTGTGGTGCGACTTGGGCTTACTTATACATGGACTATATGCGCTTGTAGGCCTGGCGCAAGGAACGCATGGTTGCCGATTTTCCTATTGATGCATTGCATACTCACTTTTGTATTCTTGATTTCATTGGTCGTTGCACAGGCAAGGTGATGAACAACCTGCCTACTTTCCTCTTGGGTGTTGTGAAGTTGAGAAATCAATCACTAATGCCATTGAACAACCATACATGCGAAGAAGCAGATTTCAACATTCGTGACTAAACAGAAACATCGCGACTGACTATTTACATGTTCAACCCGATCAACATGCCCCCTCAACCGTCATCTGAACTACTTACTGACCAAAGGTGGTCTCCGAGCTGGGGTTGTTGATTCCAATAGTGTCGGCACCACCAGAGCCCGATCCAGAACCAGGCGTGCACGCCCTCCACGCAACATGAAGCTGCTGGGTGAAAGCAACGGTAGCATCATCGTTGCTCATCTCACCCGCCTGGTCGGACTTCTTGTTCGTAAGCGCAATCCTGTTGTTGATGTTGAGGATGCCGTTCTGGCCACAGGGCGACCAGATGGTTGCCGTCGTCTCTACATTATCTTGCTTGGTATAGACTTGGCCGTTGACAAGAGCACCGCCGCCGACGGCTGACATGCGCGTGGTTTGCGTTTTGCCGGCATCTTGCGAGAAGTAGTAGGTTGTGATGAAGCTTCCGGTCACACCTTCATCAAGACGTGCCCATCCATGATAGGTGGCGTCAACAACAGCGTATTGGAAGCCTCCTGGGTACTTCAAGTTGAGGTGAAGTTGACAGTTCTTGCTTCGGTCTGTTGGAGAGCTGTTAATATCACCTTTTGCCCAGGACATACGACTTCGAACTTGCCTGCTGGGGTGGTACCGGGACCGATGTATGTCTGGAATTGGTCGAATCCATAGGTCACGACCTGTTAGTGTGAGCTGAAGTTCCTACTGGGTAGATCCTCCATAGTTTTAGAGGACGTAGTGTAAAGAGTTGTTGTAGACGAGATGATGAAGTAGAATTGCATCATCCCCTCAAGCTCAAAAGGGATGTATTGGGGTGGTACGTACAGTCTTGTCGGTTGAGGTACTGGTAGAGACGGAGCCTTGAGGGCAGCCGTTACCAGAGTACGTCGTGTCAACAATAGTGATCTGTTCTGGAGAAGGAGCACCACCAGTAGTTGTCTGAGGGACTGGGTTGGCCAAAGCGAGGACCGGAAGGAGGAGGGCGATTTTGGCATGCATGTTTGCTATTGCTGAGACAAAGATCTCTCGGAGTTATCAGGTGTTGTAGTGAGTAGTGAATGTTGACAGTGAAGGCTGTTGATCGATGATGATACTCAGCATGACGGGGAAAGAAGCATTCTTATACTTCTTGACCAACAACACTCGCATGCAATTTCGCGGTTGTAGACCCATACACTGTCCAGAACCTTACCATGCCGCCTCAGATACATTGCAAGATGATCGAAATGATGGTTCAAGGGTATAATACCTAGGTAGTCTTGATGCAGCTAGTTTGGCTTCCAAATTTAGTCCCAGAAGAAGTTCTCCGGTAATAAGACCACGGTATCTAAACAATGGCCTGGGGTTCTCAAGATGCTGATTAGATTGCTTCCGCCAAAAACACGACTTGACAGTATGGCAAATACGAAATCATGACCAAGAGCATCCGAAGACGGAGTAGCTGAGCACTTTACGCAGGTGGTGATCTGCGTTGCAGTAGGAAGTCTGCAGTGGTAGTGACCCTGCGTTGGTAGCGTATCATAAGGGTTCAAGAAAACTGAGAAGCATTATAGTGAGAATACGAAAAGCTTGGATGGCATATTGATTGACATGTTGCTTCCGAGGAGGCTCTGGACCTGCATGACAAGGCTCCGATGCTGTTTTAACGCGCTTAAAATAGTAGTCGACAACGTCGAGATTGCCTTGCCGCGACCAGGGTGCAATCGAAGATCAGGCGATGCGTGACCGGCAAGAAGATGGACAAGATCGGATAGTGTAGCCATATCCAGGTCCCGAGATTCTGGGGTATTGTGCTTACAGAACATGGTCTCGACTAGTATGCCATAATTTAACCTGTAATATGTATACTCGGTAAGCGGGTCGCGTAATTGGGTAATATACGATCTGGTAAATCCACGCTCTTCTTTCCCGATCAATATGCAGGGTTTACCCGGGATCACTGGCCACAAGGTGACCTGAACTTGCGGTTTCAAGAGGAAATCCGTATGCAGGCAGAGTAGAGAAACCTCCACCTGCTCTGGTTTTCTTCAATCTCCTTTCAAATGAATGTACATTAATCGACCTTTCTTGCGTTTCGCCTCGCCTCATACCTCGGCTTGTTATCAAGACTTCGCCTCCGGTTAATTCGGTATACGAAGTCACTACGCTTGTCCACACTGCTGTGTTATGAAGCTGCTTAGGTATGGGCATAAGTTCATACGTCTTTCGCACACCGATTACATGTTGATAACTTTGGATACAAAACGAAAAAGTGTTGAGAATCCAGATGATCGCCAGAGCTAGGTGGTCATTCAAACTTCTACGTGGATATGCGGGAAGAATCACTAGAGGAAGATTTTCCAAAGCATCGAGCAGAGGATGGTGTGTGGTTCCCAAGAAATGGATTAAGTCAAAGAACCTAGAACATTCTGCTCAAGTCTTTGCTAACATCTCCAAACAACCCAGAAGTCTGGAGTGTTATCAAGCTTGCCTTTGGCCCATGGACAACAAGAGATGGAACTTGCAAGAATTTTTTGGGTATGTATTGCGACGCGGTAACAAATCTTTCTTCGAAATTTGGCTGCATGATGCAGGAGAAACGATCGAACCAACCTGATCGTCGAAAGAGCTCAATTTGCGTGTTGTACCTAAAGTCGATCCTATTGCGAAAATGTGCACTTTTTTCTAGCTCGTCGACCTAGAAATCGAGACGTATGTACTTTAAAGATGTACACATCGCTGCATTTCAATGGTCTTTGGAATCAGAAAATGGCGATTATCTTCGAAGCATGCTCATCCTTGTTTCGCTACCGGGCGGTGGTTGCTGTCGCTGGCTCATTTCGAATGAGTATTTGGATGCATCTACTGACACTAATCGGATCTCGGATGTAACCCCTGACCGAGGTGGCTTGAAGTGGCTCAGGTGGCTCAGGTGGGTTCAGCTCTCGGAGTTATTTTCACCATTTCAAGGGCGAATGGCTCGATTTGGGATGGCGTCCTGTCTCAGACTCTGCAAAGGTCTGGATGCTAACCGACCAAGCACATACGGCTTCGCGACATGAGTCGCAAAGCCCACACAAGATCAATGGCGAGCAAATGCGTGGTACCCTATGGTTTGACCGATGTACTCAGCAGCACATTTGAAAAGTGTCGAAGACGCAAGCCAAGATGGTAGGCAGACGGACTGACGTCAAGCGACAAGTGACAGCGAGCGGAGATGAGGGGTGTAAACATTGGCAATACACCTGTGACATGCGAGTGATTTTAGTCTGAGGTAGTGACTGAGAACAGCCGTTGTTGACGCTCAGTAGCGGTGGCAGGTGAGGGCAATGATGAGGCTGAGCAATGCTAGTCAAACCTTGTGGCGCTAGCGAGATCCACCGAGCCGTTTAGTCTCCACTCCGCAGGTTCCGGAGCGATTCCGCACCAGTTTTTCCTTCGCCTCCTGGAACTGACACTACAGGATTAGCAACAGTTGTGCCGGATCGTCGATGATTCTGCCAGTGCACAACGACTCTCTGTCTTGAGGAGAGCTTATCGAAGGCTTGCGACTAGCAACTCTCGAAGGTGTTGTGGGGTAGACCGACGCCTTCCGACGCCTTGGATAGGCGCGTGGGTAAGACCTGTCGTGCCACAACCCACAAGGACAGATCGAGCCTTGAGAAGATGAAGTTCGCCGTACATCGTCGATTCTACACACTGGCCCACGAGACTGGGATGCATCGCACGTAGGCCGGTGTGTATGCGGGTGCGCGAGATCTGCCGGGCACCAGTTAAGGAGATTCGGGCCCCTGAGGGTCCCATGGTACGCAGTCTCTCCCTGCATGATCTCTGCGACGGCCATGGCGAGCATCTTTACGCGAGCACCCACATCGTCACAACTCCAGGAAAAGCCACATGCTAGCCTGGCTATCTAGCCCCTGGCCGAGAAAACTCACTTTGCTGCTCGCACGTATCTGTCGCGTATCCACAGACACCGGGCGGCATGGTAGTCGCGACCACAAGACTCCACTTGAGGAGCCACAGAATGCTCGCGTCATTAATCGCCATGTAGCATCCATGTGCAAATCAAGCGTTGCGATGCAAGTACCAATGCTTAGCTGAAGATCTAGAGGCTTACATCACCTCATCTCGGTATGCAGTGCTGCGACAGTTTTCGTCGTAGGCAACTCAGTCTGCGGGTCTTTCTTCAACCTCGTTGTGGATTGTTCCTTAACGGGCGCGAACACAGCAATAGACAAACAATCGGGCCAAGTAAGGCTGGAGCGTCAACACTACTCAAACGTTCGCGCAGACAGTGTACCCCTGATGAGCTGATCGGTCCCTTTGCGAGCGCAAGTCTGCTTCCCTGAAGGTGACTATTGACATAGTAAACCGCGGACGCCAAAGCTAACGAGATAAGTGGGGCTCTAGAACTTCTTCGACTGATCAAAAATAACCTAAGCTTTCGGTTACAGACCCGCCTTGACGATGCCGCAAATCCTCAGGTTGCCGATACTTGGAGCAGCGGGATCGAAAGTCTGTTGATCTACAATGGAGTATCGTCATGGAGGCCTACACACAATCGCGATCTAAAAACCTCCAATTTTGCTATCGATCTCCCTGCTTCGAGATAAGAAAAAGATTCATGACTTGCAGTTATCTTGTCCCGATTTAGACTGGCATCATAGTCAATGGCCTCTCATTGGCTCTGGCCCTGGTACCTGCATGTGCTCTGCACGTTCCCGGCGTTGGCGACCATGACATTTCATCCGGAGCTAGGCTAAAGTTTGGTGAACTATTGTTTCCAGGTACTGCCGCCAACTCTTTCAGGAAGACAGGTCGAACTTACCGGCCATGTTTTGTCTGTTTTCGTCTCCACTCATGACATAGATCTCAAATCAGTACTATCACCGAGGCAAAGACCGCATGAGTATGTGAGAGTTGATGTATATAAGAGCCACCGGTACACTGGTCAACAATTCATCATCAGCTCATCAGCATCGGTCTTTCACTACTGCTTTCACTACTACACTACCTTCGCTACTTTACCATCCAATCGTTCAATATGCGTTACTCTCTCTTCCTTGGGGCTGCTGCCCTCGTAGCCGCTTCTCCTGCGCCTCAGGCTTTCGATGTCAACCAGTTCAACGCCTTGCCCAACAACATTGCTCAGGGCCCAAAGGCTGGTGTCACTGCTGAGAGCGCTTACAACCAGGCTCAGGCTCAGAACACCGCCGCTGCTGCTGCCACTGGCGCCGCTACTGCTCAGCAAGCAAAGAGGAGCGTCGGTGCCCAGCTTGAGGCTCGTGACCCTACCTTCTGGTGGAACTGGAACCAGCCTCAGAACAACAAGCCTGCTCCTGCCCCTACCCCTGCCCCTGCTCCTGCTACCACTGCTGCGCCTGCCGCCAACCCTTCTTCTACCAACCTTGCACCATCTTCGTGCTCCCCGGTTGACTGGACCAACACCTACGCTTTCACCGCAGACCCCGCATGCGCTACTCAGATCGAGGTCGGCACCTACTGTGGTTTCATCAACCCTGATGACCCATGTGCTGCTCAGCCCAACGCCTACGGCCCACCAACTACTCCCGACACTGCCGATGCTTTCAAGAAGAACCAGGTTTACCACAAGTTGGCCACCTCCGCTAAGACTCCTTCCGGCTACGAGTCTTCTTTCGTAGACCTTAGCGCCTCCGTTGAGGGCAGTGGTTACCTCGGATACTACGAGCTTACCAGCTACGACACTGCTGCTTGCTCCGCCAAGTGTGACTCTACCTCCACCTGCACTGGTTTCAACCTTTACATCGAGCGTGACCCCAAGTGGAACCCGCGCCAGTGCTCTTGCGACAAGCCTGACTCCGTTACCCGCTTCAAGTGCACTCTCTGGGGACAGGATGTCAAGAAGGAGTCTGCTACCAACGTCGGTCAGGGCCAGGATGGATTCGAGGTTGTCATTGTCGGCTCCAACGGTTACAACAAGGCAACCTACAGTCCTCCTACTCCTCCTTCTTGCAGCAAGCCCCAGTCTTGCGGCC